AGCCTCTGTTCTTTCCCTGCAAGTGCAGCGGTAGCATCAAATACGTCCACCAAGAATGCCTGATGGAATGGCTGTCCCACACCCAGAAGAAGCACTGCGAACTGTGCAAGACATCCTTCCGCTTCACCAAACTATACCACCCCGGCATGCCGAATCGCATACCCACGACCGTCTTCGTACGCCGCGCCGCTCTCCACGTACTCAACATGTTCACAACCTGGTGCCGAGGGGTCCTGGTGGGCGCCGTCTGGCTCTTCCTACTACCCTGGTGCATGCGCGTCGTATGGCGCAGCCTGTTCTGGGTCGGCGATGGTGGCTGGTCACAAGACATGTTTGCCGACACACCTGAGACGTCAGTAATGCCCGCGACTGGTAGAGGACTGGCCCCTAGCGATATCGACTTGATACGCTCCGCACTCGATACCGCCAAGAGCAGCAACTCGACTGTGCATGTGGCAAGTACCGTCGGGCCCATGAAGATAACATATACTCCAAACAATTCCACGACTAGCGAATCCATCCTCTGGACCTATGCCAAACGAGTCTTCTTCGGGGTCCCATTCCCCTTTTCCCAGCTTGCACAAGCCGACAGAATAACTACTCATGTATCTGTCGTTGACAAGAACGGCACCGTTTCCAATACTACCTCGGACCACCTCGGTATTCGTAGTCCGTCGCTACTCTCCGATGTCCCCTTCTTCAACTGGTTCCAGTCTCAAAGCGCCAATCGCTTTATTGTTGACGTGATAGAGGGGCAGATCATCACTCTACTCGTTGTTGTGGCGTTTATCCTTGTCTTCTTGATCAGGGAGTGGGTGGTCCAGCAACAACCTGTCATCAATATGGTTGCCCTCGGTGACAACGTTGCTGCGCAGAGGGCTGCCATCATAGAAGAGGAGGCTCTCGTTGACAACGTGGTCGTTGATGAGGGCGAGCTGGAAGACGCTTTAGATGCTTTGGATGCTGAAGTGGCTGGGGAGGCTGCGGATGCGGAAGAAGCTCATGAGCCTGAAAATACTGACCAAAACGAGCCAATTGCCCCTGGAGACTTCACTCGCGAGAATGATGAGCCCGAGGCTGCTGAACCTACGATACGCCGCGTTCGCCGGTCTTCTTCGCTCCGCCGAGAACGCGACGAGCTTGTTCGCAACATAGTACGCGAAGGCCTCTCCGGTGATTTGAGGTCGATGATGCAATCGGATGATCTTGTGGATGCCTATGACGATGGATTTCCATCCCAGAGCTTTAACGAGGCTATTGAGCGAGCAATGATGGAAGACGGCGAGGCTAGCAGCTCAAGCTTTCCTGCAAGAACCTCGTCACTCCACCAACCTTCAGGCGTAGCGCCAGATCTTGAAGGTTCCGAATCGTCTTCATCTTCGCACAGACCAAACATGCCAGCACGCGATAGATCCTTCATCGCGACAGAAATCCGTCGCGGCCTAGAAGAGGGTAATACATGGTCTTTCGAGAACGTACCACAATCGTCAGCTTCCAACGAGGAAAGTGCTGAAAACGTACCCGAATCGTGGGAAGACGACGACAACGCAGACCGAAGAGCCGATCAAGGACCCGAGGCTGCATCGGACCACGAACCGGGTAGCGAGCACAGCAGTGGAAGCTGGCAGCAAGTCCCTGAGGCTGTAGAAGATGACTCCGACCAAGCGCTGGAAGGAGAACATGTTCACGACAAGGGTAAAGCTAAGGCTGTCGACGCCAGTGTGGAGGATAATCTACCCGAGTCAACGTCTTCTGCACAAAGCAGTTCCACTCATCTAGACAACTCAATTACGGTCGATACTACCATTGAAGTCGACAACAGCAGTAGCCAACCTGACCAAGACTCAACCACCCGCGAAGAACAGGAGCATTCTGAAGTGGGTCAGCAACACCCGGACGACCAGCCTGCGGTTCCAGCCAACGCACAACCAGCAGCGCCTCAACCTCCACAAAATCCAGTGAACCAAGTATTGGACTGGATGTTTGGAGACATAGCCCCGATGGCTCAACCTGTCGAAGAGGGAGGCAACGATGAGCATATCGTGCGCGATCTTGCAGACGAAGCGCCTTTTGTGCCCTTCTTGGGGAACGAGCCGCGGGATCATGGCAATGCTGCGCCCCAAGATCCTGAAGTTGCTGCTGCTGCTGCACAAGCTGGCATAGATGTCAACGACCAGGAAGCGATTGAAGACGCTGAAGACCTGGAAGGTATACTTGAGCTCATTGGTATGCAAGGGCCTATTGTCGGTCTTTTCCAGAACGCCCTGTTCAGTGCCGTGCTGATCACCTGCACATTGGCGTGCGCTGTATGGGTTCCTTATCTCTGGGGTAAGTTCGTCATAATAATGGTGGGAAGCCCTATCGAACTCCTCAAAATCCCTCTACAGGCGGTCGCTGCAGTAACGGACTTCATAGTCGACGTCACGCTCTTCCTCGTAGCTGGTACGACGTACTGGAGTTCTTATGCCATCTCCAGTCTGGTCAAGCTGTGTTCCTTGGGGAAACTGTCTCAAACCATAGATGGTCCACTCCGTGCAGTATCTACGCCAGCATACTCCCTTGCAGAGAGTGCAATGGTTCGTATTGGCAAGATGTTCATGGACTCGCCATTATCGTCTCAGCCCAGCTACACCCAATTCACGCTTAACGCACACGCTTCACTACGAAGCCTGCAGAACACGACCTCATTTGCGCTCAATGAAACGAGCAGCTTTGCAAACGCCATCATCGAGGAAATTTCAGCAGACTCGCCGCCCAAGCTTGTGCTGAGGGTCCTTGGACGCCTTCCCTCGTTGATTCAAGATATCTTTACGACGACCTACGGCCAGTGCAGCTCTCTGCTCTCATGGCTTTGGACGGCCAAATCGTACAAGATCACCATTGATCTAGACTCGAACAGCAGCACCGCTGCAGCATACACTGCACTGGAGCGATGGACGGCGAGTGACCGCCTAATCGCAATACTGGCTGGCTATGGGTTCTTCGCTTTTCTTGGTGCGATATATCTCAGGCGCGGCACACCTTTCAGCTCGTCACAGCAAGGACAAAGGATCGAACGCATTCTTTCTGATATACTACAACAAGCCGGAGGTGTGCTCAAGGTGATCCTTATCATTAGTATCGAGATGTTGGCATTTCCGCTGTACTGCGGGCTGCTTCTCGACTTGGCCATGCTTCCACTATTCCAGAACGCTACGCTGTACAACAGGTGGCAGTTCGCGAGAGAGAGTCCATGGACATCTGGATTCGTGCATTGGTTCATCGGTACCTGCTACATGTTCCACTTCGCGCTCTTTGTGTCCATGTGCCGCAAGATCATGCGCAAGGGTGTGCTGTACTTCATCCGCGACCCAGATGATCCGACCTTCCATCCTGTTCGGGACGTCCTAGAGCGTAGCGTTACGACTCAACTTCGCAAGATCGCCTTCAGCGCTCTTGTGTATGGAGCACTCGTTATTGTATGCCTTGGCGGTGTCGTATGGACCTTGAGTCGTGCTACTACCAACGTCCTGCCAATTCACTGGACTACCGAAGCACCATCGCTGGAGTTTCCGCTCGACCTTCTCTTCTACAACTTCCTCACGCCGGTCATCATCAAGTTCTACAAGCCTAGCGAGGGTCTGCATGCTATCTACAAATGGTGCTTCCAGAAGTGCGCTGGATTCCTCCGCCTTTCCAACTTTCTCTTTGGCGACAAGGTCCCTGCGCAAGAAGGCGATGATGGCCGATACGTTCGTGCACCTGCTTCCGATCAAGCTCGCATTCCCAAGGGCCAACCTGTCTTCGTCGAAGTCGACCGCGACAACGTTCGCAAAGATGGAGAGAATGAGGGCGGAGTGCACAACTCTGATCTCGTGTCGATGGTATTCATCCCACCATGGTTCCGCGTGCGCATTCTCTGCTTCATCGTCACGATATGGATCTTCATGGGTCTATCGGGAGTAAGCGTAACGATCCTACCACTACTCTTCGGCCGCTATCTCTTCTCACTCTTCCTCCCGCCAACCGTCGAGATGAACGACATCCATGCCTTCTCCCTCGGCGTCTACACGCTCGCCAGCATCGGCTACTCCGCCTACCACGCCTTCAAGTTCATCTCGTCGCTCAATCGCTCCATCCCAGATCCCATGTCCACACTCCACACCATCGCAGCAACCACCTCGCGCGTCGGTGGCCGCGCCCTCCGCTTCTCATACGTTTGGGCAACCCTCATCTTCGCCATACCTTTTCTCTTCGCCGTCCTTCTAGAACTCTACTTCCTCATGCCCCTGCACGCCTACCTTGGCCCCAAGGAACCCCACGTCGTCCACGTCATCCAAGACTGGACCCTCGGCTTCTTGTACTCTCGTCTCGCCGCACGCCTCGTCTTCGCGAACCGCAATTCCCGGCCCGCACGTGCGTTCAAAGCTGTCATCAGAGATGGCTGGCTCTACCCCAACGCCAAGATCGCGACACGCTGTTTCCTCATCCCCGTGCTCGCGCTCTTCCTCGTCGCTATTGCCGTTCCATCCAGTCTGGCGTTTGTCACGAGTCGAACGCTATACCGGAATGCAAACGAAGCAACAAAGAATTTACTCTGGCGCTTCAGCTTCCCGGCTGTGGGACTTGCTTTGGTGGTTATGTGGGCATCCTCGGCGGTTGTCAGGCTCCTTGTGAGATGGAGGTTGGTCGTTAGGGATGAGGTTTATCTTATAGGAGAGAGGTTGCACAACTTTGGGGAGAGGAAAGCGCCCGTTCAGCCTGCGTCTGCTGCTACTCCTACGGTGGGCGTTGAGGGTGTTGATGTGGGTACGCAGACTGCTTAGTTTCGCGGGGTCGTCGGTCGGTGTTGTGTTGTTTTGGGTGTAAGAGTGCATATCCTTTTCATTATGCATTTGCTTTCACTGAATGGTTTAGAAGGCCTGTCAGTCGTTTTGTCAGCGGGCTAGCTAGATAGCCAGCCAAGTCTCAGTATCTTAGCATGAATCTCACGCTGCTCATCCTTGTTACATCCATCTACACTACTGCCCTGTGAACTTGATCTGCTGTCGATTGGTCTATCGATCAATGTCGTGGTCAACTACGCATGATGTTCACCCATCTCGCCATTTTACAACCGCCTTCCTAGCACAGGTCGACGTCCGATGCCCTCGACTGCCACCCTCCCTCAGCCATAAGAACCTCACCAAGAACTCTACTGGTCCGAAGAAGATGCCCGTCGCGCTCTCTACCCGCAATAAGAGAAACACCGACAGGCATACCATTCGTTCCCACAAATGCAGGCATGTGTACCACTGGCACATGCAGACCCTGGATAAAAGTCAAACTCGTTTTTATCTACCACCTGTAACACGTCAACTTACCGTCCACATCGTATTAAACACCGGACTTCCCATATCCCCAAGTCCCACCGGCGCCTCATCTACAGCACTTGGCGTGATGATGACAGAATACTTGGCTGCTAGTGCGTCGAATAGCGTACGCAGATGAGCGAATTTTTCCAGAGCTTCCCGTTTTTCTTCTTCTGCATCAGCGTGTTTAGAGTGATTTTCTACTAGATTCCGAATTGAGACGTCCAACCCGTCCTTGTGCGAACAGTGTTCTTCGTGGAAAGCGAGTGCGGTCTCATTGTCGATGATTGCATTTTGAAAGCGCGTTAGGATGTCTGCGTTGCCAAAGTCATCCGGTAGTAACACTTCTTCGACTTGGACGCCGTGATTTTGCAGGATGGCGGCTGTCTTTTGCATGGCATGTATAGTATCAGGGCCGACGTGTGACCACATTGGTGTCTTGACAAGAGCGACTGAGATATCTCCAAAGCATACTTTCTCCGGATGTTGGTCATCAGTGAGAGAAAAGACGTTTGCTAGTAACTGCAGACCCGCCATGCTACGAGCAAAGAAGCCGATGGTATCGAATGTCGAAGACACGAGCTTTTGCCCCGAGGTTGAGATGGCATTGTACGTGGGTTTCATGGCAAATGTCCCACAGTAGGCTGCTGGTCGGATGACGCTTCCGCCTGTCTGGACGCCTAGAGCAAGTGGAATCTGCATATCGGCTACTGCGGCGGCGGACCCGCATGAAGAGCCGCCTGGGGTTCGAGATGGGTCGTGTGGATTGGCGGTTGGAGGTCCTGAGTTAGGGACCGAGAATTCAGTTGTCGTTGTCTTGCCTGTGGGAGACGTCAACAATCATTCATAGGTAAGGTGAATTGACAGACCGAAGATAAGGGCGCCTGCAGATCGCAGAATGGCAACAGCCGATGAATCGAAGCCAGATCGGTGTCCCTCGTGGGTTGGAGAGCCGTATTGCGTGGGCATGTCTGGGGCTTGTTAACATCTGGCATGCAAAGGACTGTACCTTACGACCTTTCGTGTTCATCACATCTTTTATGCCTATTGCCATCCCATGCAACGGTCCTCTCTGGTTTTCTGGTATTTGATCAAGTTCTCGAGCTCGGCGTAGAACAAGCTGCTGGTCTAGCTTTTGCTCAGATCGAGACGTGTTTATAGGCAGAGCAAGACTCACCGAGATGGGCCCATGCCTTTACAATATCGTCGCGGTCGCGGATACGGTCGAGGAGAGATTGTGCATAGGTCTCGACTGTGGTAGTATCTGTTTTGAGCAGCTCCAATATTTCTACTGCGGTCAGAGTGTATAACTTAGGTGATGTTGACATAGTTGGCGAGCTTTGGAGAAAAAATAGCCTAGAAGGTGGTAGAGCACGGAAAGATGGACGAGTATCTACGATAGCGTGCATAGCCGTCACGTATGCAAGGAGGGATGCTGAACTCGCTAACGAACCAGATTGATGTTTGTACTTAAGAAACGAAATAGCCCATTGCAGGTTTGAGATTTTTTTGTATTGCTTTCTTCCCATAGCGCCGTATCTGATGCAAATTGTACAGTAATACATAGTATACACACGTGCGACCGTCGTTCCCAGCAGGGTCCGTCTAGAAACCCGGAGGGTTGAGTCGTTGACTGACTCTCGTCCATTTTGGCACCTCTGTGAAATGTCAGCGATCGCAAGCATGATGTTTCTCCCTACTACCACCGTTTCTGGATTTTTTCCTGTCGCTACAGTGCCGTGTCCAAATGCACAAAAAGTATGAACTTACTGTGTATTCCCTTTCGATACCTCTTCACCTTACGGTCGAAGACGGTGTATTTGTCCTTGGGCAGCATCTCCGCCTCGGTCGGCATCTCCATCTTCCAGCGCTCCACCTTCTTCATGCTTTGTCCCATGCGTCGTAGTGCGGTATCGAGTGTGCCGACCACAGTGTCGACGTGCCGTAGGCGCTCGCGTTGTCTGTACTTCTGGTGTCTGGATAGCCGCCATGGTATCTTCCTATAGCTTTGTCAGCACGGGCTGCCAGATATCGAGTCGCAACTGATAGAAGGTGCATCGGAGCAGGAAATGTGATGGCGACAACGAGCAATTGCGCGGGGTCGATGGTTCGGGAAATGCAGGGAGTCGCACCATAATAGACCACCCGATAGCGGGTTTGTGAGGCGGAAAGGACCAAACATGGTGAGGTGCTGGTGTTGGCGATGCTGGGCTGCGCAATTGAAGTCGCGATATTCTTCCAGAGACACTCCCGCGGACTTTCTTGGCAGACATGCCGATTAGCGTGGGGAAGCTCACCAGCACACCCCACACGTTGCACAGCTAAACACAGGCTACATTTACGACGATACGAATTACGAATCCTGGCGCCTTTATTTTCGACATCAGTAAAAGCCAGAAAGACTGTACTAGGCTAGATCACGCATCCCCACCTGGACCACGCGGCGCACGCCAACCACTCCACACGTATACCGACCGACTTCCCCATACCTCGCCATGTCGTACACATTCTCCATCCTATCGCCTCTCGATGTCCCTCTCTTCACGCACGACTTCGGCACCTCACGTAGCGGCGGCACCGGTGTCGCGAACTATACCCCCGCCGAGCGCGCCCTTGTCCCGTTCATCCTACACTCGTCCCTCGATATAGTCGAAGAAGTTCAATGGGGCCCTTCTACATCCAGTGGCTCCGCGCCCATGTACCTTAAGCACATCGACAAGTACCAGAACTGCTTCGTGTCGTGCTGGATCACCGGCGGCAATACACGCTTCCTCCTACTCACAAGACCGCGGGACGAAAGCCTGGGGCTGACAAGTGGAGGTGCTGGAGGTGCGAGAGGAAGTCTGGCTGGAGGGAGAGCTGCGTTGGGAGGAGGTGCTGGTCTATACAATCCGAGTAGCCCAGCCACGGAAGAAGCTGTCAAGAACTTCATGGTCGACGTATACGAGGCATGGGTCAAGACTATCATGAATCCATTCTTTGCCGTGGGCAATGGCGAAGTCATCAAGAGTCCGGTGTTCAGGCAGAGGGTTGCGACTGCCGCGAAGAAATATCTGTGAAGGGAGAGAGAGCATCACGGAATCACCGATCCTAGAATGGAGACGACCACAGGCGCGAGGACCCATCTTATACCCGAGAGCATGGTGAACGGCACAAGAGCAGTTCAGATTATCGCGACCTGACAGTCTCGACCAGACGACTGCTGAGAAGTCTCACTTTCCCTTCGCAGCGACGCAAATCTGAGACAAGGAAGGCAGCAATGGGAGCCTTCGAGCTAGTTGCAAGCCTTTGCACTGAGCAAGTGTATGGCTACTCATGCCTGCGAGGCTATTAGACCTAGCTGAATTCGACCTCGCGCTTGTATGGGTTATGATAATTGGGAACAGAAGGATCAATATCCTGAGAGTCGATGCGATGGAGTCTCTGTCGCGCACGCATCTTTGGATAAGCACTGCACTGGACTAATATATTGCTTTGGGCTTGCGCGCAGCCAATCCCTCTCTATATAGCATCCTAGGTCACAAACAGCTACTAGGTCAAAAGTGGATACTCGTCGTTTGCGTCTCGGCGTTCCGTTTACCTATTATTCAAGGCACTCTACCTGCAAGCCTACGACATGAACATAGAGGTCTTACCTTACTTACGCATCCTCAAATCTGTGGTCACCATGAGTTGCGCCTTTACCTTGGTCCCGTTTGTAATCGCGCAGATCTCTCACTCACCTTCACCTTGTCCGAGCTGGTATATCACCACTCCATCTACCTACCTTCTCCCACTCGCAACGAACTCTCTTACCTCACAGTATTTAATATCTTTGCCTTGACTTCAGCGCGTTGCGACTCTCAGCATGGCAACAAAACCCCCCGAGGTCAGTGCTGCAGACAAACAGTGGCTCACTTTCCGACAAAAGCACGAAGCTGAACTTAAGGGCTTCCAACGGTACGCGACGGAGTCTTTTGCCAAATTTCAAGACAACGTCAACAAGGAGCGAGCAATCATTCTCGCAAAACACCAGAAAGAAGAGGAAGAGTTCTGGAGCAAGGCCAAGGCGGCAGCAAGCAGGGAGAAGAAAAAGGTTGGTAACACGGCTGTCGGGTCTAAGACGGGTGTCCAGGGTCAGGCAAATCGTCCTTCATCTGCTGCACCACCGAGAGCTGCTCCCACCACCAAGAACACGCCGGCGCCGAGGCCCAAAGCAACATCTATATCCAAGCCAGCGAGCAACACAGCCACACCGGTAGCAGGACTCAGGAATAAGAAGGCCGCTGTTACTATCATTGATCTTTGTTCCGACGAGGATGACGATGAACCAGTGTTACTCAAGGAGAAACCTGCTTTACAGATAGTCGGGCAAGGGCCTATCGCGAAAGGCCCTCCCGGCTTGTCTGGCAAGATTGGATATGCGGTAAGTCGGCAAATCCTAAAAACATTCTTGTCTTAAGACTAACTTAAATAGAATACGCCAAAGCCAGAGCAGCTGAAGCGTGAACACAGTGTCTTTACTAAGCAACCCCCACACCCACTTATACAACCGCCTGCGCTATGTACAAGTAACAGTAACACTCCCGGTGTGCACGTCTCGAACTCCGTCGCCTCTCAGCATGCGCCGGCAGCTGTTCTCAGTACACAGCGGAACCTGGTCGGGGGCGTGGGTTTTGGCAACTGGGCGAATGTGCCTCGCATGCCAGATACTCGTCAAGAAACAGCACTCAAGCTTGGAGGTAGACCATTACCGGCTTCCTCTCCGTGGGCTACCCCCACAATCTCTGCTTCACAAGGCCTACAGTCGACGAGCGGTTTCGCTTCTTCGAGGCTCTATCAAGACCACCGGCCAGACAAGTTTCAACCGCGACAAAGTGTGGGTCACCAAGTAGGCCAGTCATCGATGTTGCGGGAATCAGCTTTCCATGGCCTTCCGCGGGCGGACCAAGCAGTTTTGCGAAAGGAAGGCCATGCTTACTATTTGAATGGCTCAATCGAGTCTTCACAAGACCTTGGACGTAGAGACAGGTTTGGTCCTGATTCTGTCCCGAATAATGCAACCAAAAGCGTGGAGAGTGACCTTCGTAAATCGGTTTCGAACGGTATGGACACAATGACGCATGAAGCTCCGCGTAGTAAGCTTGCTGTCTTCCATCTTATAGTGACTGAGCTAACATATACATAGCTCCAACAAGACCACAGCAACACACTCCAAACATGCTTCCATCACCTCAAGATACTGGTCTCGTATCCACTCAAGAGAGCCCTCGCACCCCAACCGCAGAGCCACTTACCCCTACCACTCCTAAGACTCCTAGCTTCAGAAGGCCATTCCTCCCAGCGAGTGCCACTAAAGACAGTGTTGCGGTTGCTAGGGGAGTTCGGGCTGGATCGCAGGTATCTACTTCTACGCCTACTAATCGCGCCTCGAGTATTTCGCAAAGTCAACGCGATGCGTCAGTCGTATCGCATACTTCTTTTTCCTCGCGTTCAGGCAGAGGCAAGCGGAAGGTGGTGGATCTCAGCAGCGATGAGGAGAGTGACTATGCCCCGCCGTCTGATGACGAGGAGCCTAGTTCCCCTGTCATGATGGACGATGCTCCTGAGCCTGTAAAGAAGCAGACATCTAGGCCGGCGACCAAGAAGGTCAAACTTCCTCCACCACTACCACCAGCTCTTGCCTCAAAAGGTGTGTATAACAAGGGAAAAAATGGCTTTTGCTTCACGAGCTTGCAGAAATCGAAACCCAAGGTCAACAGCCAAACTGATGCGGCATCACCGACTACCCCACCGCGTGTGCCCACCAGAAAGCCTCAGCCGACGACACCATCTACACCGACACCTGCGTCTCAGAGGTCCAAAATTGTTACGTCAAAGACTCAAGGAGCAACGGTATCGCGCTCACCCCGAAAAGCCAAGCTTGATGCATCTGCAAAGATTACGCAGCTCAGCGAAGCCGAATTAGAAACTCGGACCAGCATTGCTATCGACGAAGCGAACCAGCGCGAGAGAGCAACAGCTGAAGCTGGAGTTTTCGAGCAAGTCAGAGGTGGCATGCGGGCCATGTCAATCACACCGGCGCCTGGCAACGCTGCAGAGGACGTGGAAATGCTGGCCGACGTCTCAGACTCCGAGATCACATCCCCCAAACACGGCGCTGGATTGAGTTCATGGACAGACTCTCGCTTCAACGGTGACAGGTATCTTGCCAAGTCTCGCGCTGCTCGGCCCATAGTGGAAGACGACGAAGACGACGACTACGACGACCCGGACATCAGTAAGTACAGCGTCATCAACGGCATTATTGTGCATGAGGCGGATCGAGAGAGACTGAGACTGACGCAAGAGCAGGAAAGGCTTATGAAATCAAGAGGGACAGACGGTGGCAGTCGCGCACGTGTAGTGACCGCAGTTGAGATGCCGGAGCATGCTCAGGGTATGGCCGGGCGGAGTGGGAGGCGCGCGAGGAAGACTATGAGATGAGAAGCACGAAATTGAAGTCATGGGGATTAACTGAGAGCTACGCTTTGTACGATGTACCTCGAATGAGACTCCCATGTCGCAAGAGGGTTTAGCAGTGGAGGTGTCTCTTGCAGAGCAGGATGTATCGAAGTATCCGTTTCTTCGTCTACTCGCATGAAGTCGCGATATGCTTCGCACTAGCTACACTTCTATCATTCATCGAAACTTTACATAGTTTTTGCTTAGCTAGTGGTGACAAGAAGCTGCTACACAGTCCCAAATGGTATCACACTTTAGCCCATCGACCATGTCAAATCTCTCTTGCGTAAAAGCCGAACGAACAGCACCCAGCTGGCCAACCCATCCACAGCTTACTCACAGTAAAAGCATCCAGATCACCACAGACTGCAAACAGGGAGATGACGATGCGCTGCATCTTATCAAAGCACCGAATCGGCCAGACACACTAGTTCCGTCCCCGTTCACGCACCTCCCTCCCCACTCTCCTAAGCGCATGACAGCAAACCGCCCAAACGCCTTCCTAGAACCCGGATCTCGACGCGTCCAAAATTCTCATCTACAGTAGTACGTGGTGAACGCCCTAGCAGTTGTCAGTAGTAAAAAGGCAAAGCTTTCTGGCCCCGCAATGGCTAGAATGCTAGCTCATTAGCTGCACGCGACCAGCCAGTCAGCCTCATTCACTCAACGGCGCTGCACGCTTGTTAACAGAAAAAGGACGAGCTCAGTCAACCATCCTGCACACACGAGAGCCAAGACGGGGAAACGAGCATCAACGACGCAGGAAAAACGGTCGGCGGTGCTAATACTTTCAACGGTTTGGCAAGTCGCGCCGAAGATTAACGTTAACGTCAGGTTAGCTTGCGGAAGGTGGGCGTTACCAACTTGTGACTGGCTGGCTTTGGATGCCCGGAGTTTTTTTGAGAAAGTGGAGTAGCTAGCTAGTCTAGTTAGCTAGCTAGTGACATAGTTGGTTCGGATTAGTTAGTTCGCGCTTTCTTCTAGGTTGGCAGACTTGCAGTGGAGACAGGTCTTGGGAGTTCGGTTCTTCTTGGTATTAGCAATCGGGGCGGCCGTGAGTAGATGGGATGACGAGAGTCTTTGATGTGGGTTGCATAGGCGTGGAATTGGTGTTGCGGAGGATTGATTTGGGATACTGCGAGACTGCGAGACGGGACAGAAGGCGTCGATTAGAAAGTGAATTGTTGCAAGTAGAGTAGCGCAGACGGAGAAAAGCATCTGTTTCACACACGACTATACCAAGAGCCTTGGAACTGCCGTCAGCGCGAAAAGCGACGATATGTCAGCCCATCTCTGGTTTAGTTTTGACAAGCCAACTAGGCATATCCCGCCCAGTGTGACATGCCCTCCAAGCACCATCGCTGCAACTTCGGAGAGTTTTTCTTACGTTGCTTTGGATAACGGAGTGAGGGAGGGAGGGGGGGCCATTTCCGACTACTCCTAGCTTCGTAACGGTTTTACCGTTTTCGACGCCTTTCGGGGGGGTTGGCAGCAGTTGGGTTGGTTGGGGTCCTTTCCGCGCGTACCTCGTCTCGCGTGCCACATGCCACATGCATGCATGGGTAATTTCGGTCTCCAACGGCCAGCCGTTCCGGCAATCGTGTCTAAACCGCAATCAGCCTGTTCTGCCCACACACCCCAACAACCGTCGGGTCGCGTCGCGTCGCACAACATTGCATTGCGTTGCAGTCGTGTGCCTGGCCTTCTTTGATACCCTGCCCTGTTGCGTGCGGTGCGCCCCCCCTCGCCCCTTACTACCCACACCTTACCCACCCTGAAAAGCAAATCATCCTTGTGTGCCTGAGCTGGGTAGTCAGGCACCAGGCACGCAACGCGTAGACATGAGTGGTATTCAGCCACGCGAGACCAGGCTCTCCCGGCCTGTCACCTGTCCGCCTTCCGCTTTGCGAACGTATGGGGGAGGGATGTCCCTAGGGGAGAGTAGGTCGACCGAACGACTATCGACGTGATTTATTTGTCTCGGACAATATCACGTTGAGCATGCATGGAAAGGCTTGCGTGCCGTACCGCTGTGAGTAATCGTGAGTGGCTACTGAGCGGTTCGTGTGGGTTCTCTTCTCGTTCGGTGCTTTGAAGGATTGCGGGCGAACTGGTCAGCTGGCTGCATCTGGGATGCATCCTCCGGGTCTCTCGATGATACACAAAACGCCTCTTCCAAGGTTTCGAAGAGGGCAATTTACTCTGGACTTTTGCCGGGCTGTAAACACTCGCGAGAAATCACTTAATGTCAGACTGCATGTTTGTTTTTGAAATGTCTATTATATGTCCAGGGTAGCAACAACTAGCCCATCTACCGAATACTGACAAAACATGCGCAATATAAACATATCCGAAGACGCAATCATAGCCGACAAGACTCCTTCCTCATGCCATAGACAGCGTCCTGAGTCATGCTTTTAAATGCTTCCTTGTCTCTTTTTACCGCAGACGCCAAAGTCCATTCGCACAAGGGATGATCGCTCAACACGCTATAAACAGACAGGAAAGAACAGACCGAAAACCGACCGAGTATGTCGCAAGAGATCATAACTTGCCGACGGGTATCAAGACGGTGGTGGGTGGCCGAGAAGTGTCGAAAAGAGAGAGAAGCAGTCATCGGCAGATGAACGACCAGTCTGAAACCCAATACAGCCACGATGAAACATGGGTGTAAGCAACAGCCGGGCCTGTCGCGAAGGATTTGGTGCCGAGTCGAAAAGGGTTGTCAACCCCGGTCGTTCGTAGGGGCTCCCTGCAAGTGCCGAGAAAGTGGGTCAACGGGGCGGCTGCCTGCAACCAGGGCATCCGTTTGGAGCATGTGGCCTGAGACTTCTTAAGGAGAGCCATCGCGCCTCGCCTTCTTGCTCTTCTCGATTCTCTCGTTCCACCGCCTCTTTCCAACACGAGTCTCGAAATGTGGGGCTACTTGGGTCACATCTTGACCTTGGCCCATCATGCTACTTCTCATCTTGTTGCGGTAGGCATCAACTGTTGATAAGGTTAGTAAAACGTTCTTCTTCGTACCGAGCCATTGACTTACGAGACTTTTGCAGAAACAATGTCCTTCCTGCGAAAACACGACTCTGGCTCCAGCTCATGCGGTAACCAAGATCATTGAGCGTAATCTCCTTCGACCGCTTCGCACGAGTAAGACGCGGCTTCGGCACACGAGTCTCGCCATCCAGCGTTGGAACAGGCACAACAGTAGAGCCAGCCAGAGGGAAGCTCGGGTCGCTCTCAACATCGGGCTCGTCAGCAAAGACCTTGCTGCCACGAGGGCTGGCAGGTGGAGAGGTCATTTGCATGGCGAAATAGCTACGAGGGAATACCGAGTTGGACTTGCGGTAAGAATCAGGCATCTCCTCCATCTTGACCGTGTCGAGGGTAACTCGCACGCGAACCCTAGTTCCTCGTTGCGCATCATCTACAAGGATGAATTTGCGGCGCTTCGAGTCAGGTAAGTCGCCAAACATGGCTAGCTTTCGCTCTTCTTCGTCTTGCTCTTGCTGCTTTGAAACGGGCACACCCGCTGCGTGCGATGGAGGCGGAGGGTGGCTCAGGCTGTCGTGAATCGGCGGCATGCCGCTGGAGCCTGCGACGGAGTCGCTCGATGGGTAATTCGGGTAGAAGCTCTGAGCGGGCCGCCCGTCGGTAGGTGATGATGATTGACCGTTTGGCGCTTGGTGATGGTGAGTGTGTGATTCACCGTATTCATTGGCTGTACACAAAGAGAGTTAGCTTGCACGTCCAAACATGTCTCTACTTCCCGTCCTGCGCTGCTGAACCAAAAACATGTAACTATGGGGTGGGTATATATGCAAGCATGCATGGGGCAGTGGTATCGAAGGGGTATTACATCAAGGAGTATGTAATGTACATGGAGAAAGAACGACAGAGGTATCATTTAACAGCCAACAACAATTGCGCCTTATCACATCACATCTGGTGAAACATACCGCTAACGTCATCTGGTCCTCCGTGGGGCCCTCCAGGTCCATCATGGTGATGGTGCATCTGAGGGCCGCCCATGCCCATGTTCGGTTGTCGGGGCGGTGCTGCTAATCCGGCAGAGTTGGGAACACCGGGAGCACCTGGTCCACCTGGTCCAGCCATGTGGTTACCATGGTTAGCCGATTGGGCTTTCCTTGTGGTCATCTTGGCCATTCTGCGCACGCGTCGGCTCCTTAGTCGGGGGTCTTGGTTGCTGTTCCTCCAGCTGTCGACGGCGCGCTGGATGAGACCACGCTTTCCGCGCAGGCAAGGGTTCAACTGCGCCAGAGCCCAGCCGACGGTGTTGCATTCAGTCTCGTAGTGAAGACGGTTGCCTTTGTATTGATCCTTGGCGCAGCAAGCGCGAGGGTATACACAGTTCTCGGTCTTGAAGTCTTGCGGCAGCTCGTCAACATTGATAGACTCGACATCGCAGCGGATGGTGTACTCCATCTTGACCCTGTCGCGAGAGTACTCAAACGCGATCCATTGCACACCATTCTGGTCTTGTCGCACAACAAGGGGAGTGGTGGCAGGAATGGGACCAGGCGCGGCATTAGGGTTGACATTGGGTCCTCCGGGAGGGCCAGCGTGCATGTTGGGGGTGCCGACGGGAGGGCCTTGAGGCGGAGCTTGAGGCGGGCCGAGTCCTGACGGTGGCCGTTGAAGTGGCGTCTGCGACATGCGCGACTTGGGGCTTCCGGTCATTCCAGGAGTTTGGGGATGATGCTGCTGATGTTGTTGCTGTTGCTGATGCTGCATCTGCTGGTTTTGCTGGTGGGACATGAGCAGCGATTGCGTCGCCATTGGTTGCTGTGGCGCGCTTGAAGGATGCTGCTGGTAGGGTGACTGTTGGGGAACTGGCGCCGAAGCATAGGGTGTGTAGTACATTGATTGAGGCATCTGGCTGGGCGGTTGTCCATAGATTGGCCGGCCGTGCTGGTCGTGCTGTGGAGACTGAACAGATGCAGGTGAGTTTGACTGCGGGGTGTGGTATGAGATCGGAGGATAACCGCCCCTGTTCATTGTTGCGGCCGCCATGAGCTCTGGGGTTTCTGCGAATTGTTAGAATTCCATTTTGCGCGGGGGTATATACGACCGGGGCATCCAAGTCGAGGCGTCATTAATGCGCTGGGCGCATGGACAAACGCGTGGTGATTTGTGTACACAAAAACAAAACATACCTGAGGACGAGTAGTTACTCGGCGCACTGTTGGTGCTGTAGGGGCTCTGGTGGTGCTGGGAGTAGTAGGGAACCTCTTGCTGCTGTTGCGGCGGTGGGGGGCCTTGGATCTGCTGGATGTAGGGCGATTGGTGCTGCGGCGGGCCCTGGGGGTTTGGGTGCTGTGGTGATGGGTAGTGGCCCTGTGCAGGACTCTGAGAAGGCACCGACTGGTGGGGAGAGTCGGGATGGTGCTGGTGTTGATGTTGTTGATGGACTACACCAGGCCTAGGGTGGTGAACAGGAAGGTGACTAGGCGGTGGCAAGCCCTGAGCCGAGTGGGGATGATGCTAAGAAGACAGCCAGTCAGTAAGGCTGCTGGGGGCAAACAAAAGATAAAAAGCAAGCGTCTGCTTGAGGTGCTGTGGTGGTGATCGGGGCTGGGGGTGCAAGCAAGGTGAGAGGTGGGGGTGCGGGTCGCTGTGGTTGGCTGGGCGGCTAGGGTGTAGCGACGGATGTGCAGCAGCAGCGTGGTAGGCGAGGGGCAGGGTCTGGAAAAAGACAGGACGGTAGGGTATAGTTTATAGGATGGGAAGGGCAGACTAAAGAAAGCAGGGCGGGACTTCGCAACGTTGACAACACAGAGCGGACCAGCGGTGGGAGCGGAAGGCTGCTAGGATGGCAGGGATTCCGCTGCTGGTAGGCTGCGTGACAAGAGGCTTGGACTGGCTTCAGAGGAGACAAGGAAAGCTTTGGCAAGTGCGACAGGGGAGGCGGGTTTTGGGTAGCAGGGCTGCTTGGCGGGAAGGGCATACCATGTAGGCAGAGACGCGCCGGAGCTGGGGTAACTCGTTGTGTGTGGCCGCGACGTGCAGTGGCTGCTGCAGCATGCAAAAAGCGCGAGGGTGAAGCTACCAGCGGCGGTGACGGGTTTAGGGAAGGGTTCTGCGACGCGCACGACGAAACTCCAACGGTCGAGGGTGCGGCAGGGCCGATCAAGATGGGAGCGAGCGGAGGGTAGCGAGTGTATGGGATGATGCAGGTGGTCGAGCGTGCGTGGTAGGGGGTGCAAGGAAGCAGAGGCAACTCACCATCTTTTGCGACGCTACAGGCGCCGGGTCTTCCTTATACTTGCGGGCCCTATCTGGGATTTTTGGCTGCGACATTGTTATTATTGCGCGGTGGTAGACGTCGAAGGATCCGGGCTGCGAGGGTCCGGGCGCAGCGGTGGACGAGGGTTGGGGAGCGATGCAGTAGCGTGGCCTGCGCAATTTCACGCGCAGAGCAGGTGGCGCTAGCGACGTCTAGGGAAAGGCAGCGAGGAGAGTCTGCAAAGGCGGTGGGAGGGCCGAGGGTGGAGTCGGTCGTTAAATCAACCTGGAACAGCCACCTCCCTGCTCTGCTGCACGCTCGGACGGAGCAGCTGTTTCGAGCGCCCAAGCCGCGGATGCGAAGGGGCCGGGATCAGGGATCGCCGGCGGAATAGCCCTGGTCGATGGCGATGTCGTCGCGGAGGGTGGGTGCTGCTGCTGCTACTGCGAGGATGGGGCTGCTGTTTGATGGAAAAGGCGCGTCGTCTTAGACTCTTCTTGCTGCCCGCTGTCGCGTCCGGTGGAGCACGTGACGGTCAGGTTTCGGCGGGTGGGGGCTTGCTGCCCAGAGCAATCGAAAAGACAGCACTCGAGGACGAGCTAGCGGTTCCTTCCAACGCGACGTGAGACTGATAGCAGCTGCCGTCATCGCCATCGCGCCTGCCCGTCGCATGCTCGTCGCCCCTGCCTCGCTCGGCTAAATCCTCGACATGGCAGTCGCGACCCCGCGGTACCTCCCTCGCACCCATGGCACACCTGGCGTCTTAATCCGGCCTGCTATAGCTCGCACACGATGCCACCTGCTGCTTCTGCCATTTCATCTCGCCCAGGGCACACAGTGCTCCGCCCGCCGCTGCTCTGACGCGTCCTTCGAGTCCAATTCACCGCCGCTAGTCGACCGTTTTAGCAGTTGCACCACCCAGCCCAGCGCCCCGCCGTCTTGCACGCCATTGGCCCGTGGCGCCGGTGAGCAGACGCCCAAAACGGCTCACCAGCATGTCTCTTTGTGCCCGCAACGTCGCCCGCTGTGACTGGCCGATGCACGCCCGCAGCCTCCAATCGCCATCGAGGCCTGATCGGCACCGCCATGCCTGATGCTGCCACACGGAGATGCTTCTCGGGAAACGGGTCATGGGCTGCCTGCTCAAATCGCCGCTGATCGGCCCTGGGACGTCGGGTTCGCAACCTCTGCGGAGCCATGCCACCGAGCAAACTGCTGCTTCAGGGGCCGCATCGTGGCAGGACCGCCTTCAATGCGCCAGTCAGCCCTGCCATCCAATTGCTGCTGTGGCTATTCCTAGTAAAATTGCCCTCATGCTCAACGCGAGCAACACGCGTCGATAACCTCCGCGACAACATCCGGGCGAATAGCCGCTTAGCCCATCGCGATAGCAATACACGTCTGCAGCCGTCTCGGTGCATTTGCTCCATCGCTTCCGGCGTCAATTCAATGCTGTAATGCCGTGCCCTTCTCGGACGTCTCAAGCCTGCTTCTGCGCGCTTGTCCTCACGTATCACATGCGCACTGAAACACGAGACGCGACCAACACAAATACTCTTGTTCTGTTCGGCATGTCTCGTTGCCAGGCTTCGAGAAGATCGCGTTGGAAACAGCGCGCCGTTCCATGTTGTGAGCATTACCCTCCCTGTCAAGATCGTGCCATGGGACCTGGGCTTGTAAAAGTTCCGAGCGAGGCGTTCGCAGTGCGGAGAAACCCTGGGAGCACGCTTGCTGGCCTTGTTCACGACAAGGGAGATAGGTCAGGTACCGAGCGACCATCAACTCTATTCTGACGCCGCCCGCTACATTTCGATACAACACAGCACTTGGTGACTACCTCCGCCGCCCAACTCGCGGCGCACAAGGGCGCGCGCATTCAGTCTCTCACCGTCAGCATGCGCATCCACTGCGGATTTGGCAATTCAAAATCTTCACTGCCAACTTTGTGCAAGCCGAACTCCTCCTGAACACCCTCAGGCGGCGCCTCTTCACGCTTTGACGATTAGCCACGCTTGCACTAGTTGCACAAGATGTGGACATAGCCATGTCGATCTCGTCAGCGAAAACGATGCCGTGTTACATCGGGTTGCTCTTTTCACTCCACCCATATGTAATGATTAGCTGTGTGTCTCCGCAACGTGGTGCAAACACGGCTGGCGGCGACGTGCATGACGGCCAAGGTCAGCTGGGGTGGCTCGTCGACATTCTCGCGCGTCGCCCGCCGCCTGGTTCTACAACAGCCTCCAACTCCGTTCGTGGTGTCGCTTCCATGATAACCGTTAAACAAGAAAGCTCTGTTACGCCCAATATCGCGAGGGCGTCATGGTTGTTGCCTTCGCGTACGGTTATTTGGTTGACAGGCCATCGTTTTGGCCAACCACATTTTGCACACCGTTGTCCGCTCGCGGGAAGCAGGGATACATGCCTGGGCATCAACGGTCGACGATCACAAGGGACAAGGTGCGCGACGCTACCGTACATGGATCCGACTCGTCCCGCAAGTCTCTCGCCCACCACCAGCATTGCACACTGGATGATGCTGCAAACCACCGCTACCACTACCGCGTATCCCCGATTCGTGATTTCGCGCGTGGAAATAACGTCACATAAAGCTACCATGACATGCGAAGTGCGGTTGCAGGCCCCGATGGTTCATCTACCGAAGGTTCTCTGCTTATTGACTGACCGGGGAGCGATCGGCAGGTGAGCCCCATCATATCGACCATTTTTACATTATCAAGTTTTCTCCGCTCGCGGCAGCTGTCGTGTGAAATAGGCTAGGCAGCTTTGATGGGCCTAGGCCTGCATTTGCTTATTGCAACTCTATCGGCAGATATCAGTCACATCCAAAAAAGCGATGCAGGAATGTCTATCAGATTGTGCGATAAGATCTTGATGCTGGTGATGCGAGCTCCAGTCACCCACCCGCTTGGAAGATCTCCAGGCCCCCTCGACCTTGCTTCCCGCATCCCTTGAGGGTCGTGGTGCAGCTTGGGTGCCTATCCGACATCTGTTTCCCGGGGTATATCATGAGTGGGCTCCAGGCAAGCATTGTGCCGAACACGAGTACGCGCCCAAGATGCCGCAGTGCCACAAGTTTCGCAATTTGGGAGTGAAGGACTAGACCTTCTCGTCCTGCTTTGAAATCGCTATTTCTCCAGCCGAGCCTTCACTTGCGAACGTTACTGCATAAGCGGCATTTCTGACAGGCGACAGCTTTGTGCTCATTGGCTCAAGGAGTACTCTCCTTCTGCCGGCTTTAATCATGAGACGGAATGATCCGTGCCATCCCAGTCGATATCATCGAGCTGCAACAAGGTCCGGCCGGTCTCCCGTCCTTTCCCTGTTCTCTCACCAGGCCTTGCGGCGGCACTGATTCGAGCGGACACTTGTGGAAAGGATTCGACATGGGCTGATGGATGCAGCGTCACGTTAACCGCTGTTTTCCATGATGTCAGTCAGCGCTAGCTCCCGATGCACTGCATCAAGCTACCACCCTACTGTGCGAATGGGCCGCCTCGGCTTATCAGCCATCTAGGCCCAGCCTCTTCGA